GAGATCACACCCACTTATGAGATCACACCCACTTAGGAGACCACACCCACTTAGGAGATCACACCCACTTAGGAGACCACACCCACGTAGGACACCAGTAGTGTGTACCATTTTGTCCCGGCTGGTGCAGCTCGTGATGCGTCTTCTCTTTTTATAGAGAATCTTTGGTTTTAGGACTCGTTTCTGCGCCACTCGTGCACGTCGTTGCAGATTGGTTAATACCTCTGACACCAAATGAGACACTCGTCAGAGCCAGTTTCACACCGTGTGGACAAAGTGTCTTCAGAGTGAACGTGACCCTGGTCCCAACTGATGAAAGATGTGAACTGTCCCTTTAAGGCGGCGCAGGAGCACCTTGAGAGTTGTTTGTTTGTTTTAATGATGTTAATGACATGATGTTAATGACATGATGTAACGAGTTAACGTGGGACTGACAGCACACAGGATGACACACCTGAGACCTCATTATCCAAACATCGTGTCTCTGAGGACACAAAGACACAAAACAAGCGTCTCCCAGTGTCCCCCCCACCCCCTCCCCTCCCCTGTGTCTGTGACGCCGCTGCAGATTGGACACACACTGTCGCTGCTGTCCAATCAGACGACAGCACATTTACCTCATGCAGGCTTTAACACATCATGTCACTCATGTCTCTCAGGAGTTCTTTGAGCACGCTCAGAAGCTGTGGGAGGACAACGGTGTGAAGGCGTGTTTCGAACGCGCCAACGAATATCAGCTGATCGACTGCGCTCAGTAGTAAGACACACACACACACACACACACACTCAGTCTTCCACTTCAGAGAAAGTGTGACATTTTAAATCGCAATGGACCAATCAGAATGCTCCACTAACTCTGACAGACCTATCACAGCTCAGAGTGGAGGAGCAGCAGGAACAGATGACGAACTCTGTGTGTGTGTGCGTGTGTGTGTGTGTGCGCGCGTGTGTGTGTGTGTGTGTGTTGCAGCTTCCTGGACAGGTTGGATTCAGTCAGGAGGACGGACTACACACCTAATGACCAAGTATGAAACCGACCAATCAGCTCCCAGCATTAAGGCTGCTCAGCTGTTGCCGGCCTCACAGTGACCACGTCTTCTTCTTCTCCTGCAGGATTTGTTGCGCTGCAGAGTTTTGACTTCTGGGATTTTTGAAACCAGGTTTCAGGTCGACAAGGTCAACTTCCAGTGAGTGTGTTTAGCCCCGCCCCCTCCGTCCACCTGCAGTCATTTAGGTGTGATCCATAGAAAGAAAAAAAGAAAAGCAAGTGAAGCTGAGAGCTGTGATGATAACACAAGCTATTCACAGTCACATGTTTTGCTTATTTGCATATCTATGTAATATCCGTACTGTGACACAGACGAGGGTGAGACCCTGTGTCCTCATATGAGGACGTCACTTTGTGGGTTCAGCACAACTGAGACCTGTCGTCCTCTTTCGTGGACACTTATTGTGCCATCTAGTGGAAGCAAAAGCACAGTACACTAATGGGTTTTACATGACGTAAAAACAAGATGGCTGCCATCTCTGCCTAGTCAGTCTGCAGCTGATCCTGAGACAGAAGTGGAAAAAATCTGATGACATGTTATAGTTGAGTCTCTTTTAATTTATGATTAATTATGTTTTAGTTTGATATCCTTATAAGGGAGTTCTTGTTTGAGGACATACGGACTTTATTGTTGTCTTGTTTCAGGACATTGGACTTTATTATCATCTCTTTTAAGGACACTGGGACTTAATTATCGTCTCGTTGGAAGACATTGGGACTTTATTATCATCTTGTTTGAGGACACTGGGACTTAATTATCGTCTCGTTTGAGGACACTGAGGACACTGGCACTTTATTGTCGTCTCATTTGAGGACATTGGACTTTATTATCATCTCATTTGAGGACACTGAGGACACTGGGACTTTATTATCATCTCATTTGAGGACATTGGACTTTATTATCGTCTCGTTTGAGGACACTGAGGACATTGGGACTTTATTATCGTCTCGTTTGAGGACATTGGGACTTTATTATTGTCTCGTTTGAGGACATTGGGACTTTATTATCGTCTCGTTTGAGGACACTGAGGACACTGGGACTTTATTATCATCTCGTTTGAGGACACTGGACTTTATTGTCGTCTCGTTTGAGGACATTGGACTTTATTATCATCTCGTTTGAGGACACTGAGGACACTGGGACTTTATTATCGTCTCGTTTGAGGACATTGGAACTTTATTATCGCCTCATTTGAGGACATTGGACTTTATTATAGTCTCGTTTGAGGACACTAGAAATTTATTGAGGACATTGGGACTTTATTGTTGTCTCATTTGAGGACATTGGACTTTATTATCATCTCATTTGAGGACATTGGGACTTTATTGTCGTCTCGTTTGAGGACATTTGGACTTTATTGTTGTCTC